TGTGTGTGTGTGTGTGTGTGTGCGCACACGCGCATTTTGTGCAGAAGATGGAACGGTGAGCTGATGAGTGCTTGGTTAGCTGACACACATGCATTACTACACACACAGTACCTACACACACGCTCTCAGCTCTCTGATGACCAGATAAGTGAGCAGCACTGCACCAAAGCACATTCATAATAGATAAGACCGAATGGAGGGAAGAAGGGGAGTGAGTTAGGGATGTGGAAGAGGGTGAGGGATTGTGAAAAGAGAGGAGAGAGGGCAGGGAGCATTTATGAACAGAGGGGATGTTAAAGAGGGTTGGAAATAAGCCAGGAAGTGGAGTTAAAGGATGGAGAAACCCCAACACTCACCTCCAGGCTCTGAAATGACAGAATAACTCTGTGTTTGCTCTGATGAACTCAAACAGTAACTTTTCTCCTCTGTTTTCTATCTCAGATGACCCAGCAGATGTCAGGCATGGCTCTGAGTGGTGGAGGGCCTGCGCCAGCTGCTTCCAGCCAATCAGGCACCCCTGGGGCCGGTTGGCCCGCAGCTCCATCCCCGGCTTCAGGCCAGACCCTCAGCACTCAGCTGTGGAAGTGACGAGGATGGGGTCCAGAGGATGTGGTGGTGCGGTGGGGAGTGGAGGGCAGCGACATGGCAAGAAAACACCCATATTTTCCAACCAATCCATGTACCTTCAGCTCTGATTATATACAGCAAGGACAGTCCGTGTGCCCCAACACACCTTCACCGCAGTTCCTTTAGAGGGCCAAGATGACATCACAATGGATTGGAGCAGTAAAAAACAAAACGAAAAAAACCCGGCAACCGCTATGTTGCGTCTATAGTTGACTTCCTTTTCTTTTCTGGTTTCCTTTTTGTTGTTGTCGGAAAAAGACAAAGAAAACAAAAGAGATGTAACAAAGCTGCTGGAGCAAAAACTCCAAGTGTCTGTAATACTAAGATGATATCATTACCAAACTGGATAGTTAGTCTCTCAGTATCTGCAGTAGATATGGTAGATATGGCTGTCTTGTGGTTGGTCTATGCTACCTGTCCTCTCCCTTCTCTCTGCACTGTATATTGTGATGGTCCCTCTTCCTTCCCTTCCTGCTCCTTTAGGGCAAGCACAGCCTCGTAGCAGATAATCGTCCAGTACTGTATTTATGTGAAAAAAAAAAGTGAATCTCCTGGGTTTTTTCAGGGGAGAGAGGTCAATGCTTCAGCTCAGAAAAACTTTGGTCGAAGGTTTTTTAGCCTCTGCTAAAAAAAATGAGGTCTCGCTGACCTGCTAATACAGTAGGTTTTACTTTTATTTTTGCACTAATGATCAAACAGTTCAACCATTTTCCCTTTGAAACGTGTGAAGTCAAGCTGTCTTGTTTCAGTCTCTGCGGGTTCAGCTTATTCCCACAGCAGACAGTGTACTGATGACTTACACCAGTGGTTTTCAGTTGTGGGGAAACCACTTGCTCAAGGTATATAATAAATCTCTGTGTTTATGGTAGACTTTTTTTTTTTAAATAAACAATTAAATAGCCTAAATTGTTCCATTTTCTTTTCTATTTTATGGTTTTTGTTTTGATAGTAATACTTTTTTTTATAAAGTATTATATAATTATATAATAATATTTTAAAGTTAGAGAAATAAAATGTGTTATGCTTGGGCTTGCTGACATATAATCTAAAACTACTGTTTTCCCCACACATCCACAGGTTTAAATATATAAGTACATATTTTCTTGGAAAAAAAAAAGAAGAAAAAACTTAATGTTTGCTGTAAAACTTGAAGCTAGCAGTTAGATGCAGTTAGCTTAATTTAGCAGACGATATGCGGATATGCTAATCTGGTACTGTTCAAAATGATCCAAAAACAACAACCAAAACAAACAAACTGAAGTCTCTCTAAAGTTAAGCAAAATCTCCAATGTATCGCAATTCAAACAATTCACACTGTAAATGTAAATATATTATCACAGGTTTCCTGATTTCTAGACTTTGCGTTATTGTATGTTGTTAGCTGCTCGGCAATTGATTCACAATTAAGGTGCCAGAGTTACTCGACCCTTAGCTTATCCTTATTACATATCCGCTTATATGTCAGACAAACATCAATGTGTGTAGTCAATGTGTAGTTTTCAGTTTTTATTTTTATTTTTGACTTTTTAAAACTGTTTCAAATCTTTCCATTCAGCTAATTGCTACATAGCGCTAGGGCAATTCTTAACCTACAGGTGCTAGCTAAAAGAATTTTCTGGAACTGGTCACCGACTCATCTGCTTAGTTATCTAGCGACATGACAGGGACAGACTGCAATAACTGCACTCTTTCATCTTGAGTACCATGAACATACATCTCTTTAACAAACAGAAGCCATTAGCACAGTTAGCGTAGTTATTTAAAAGAGCTAATGCTTAACAAAGCCGATGCTTTGTTTGACATGTCTTTTATCGTTATATGTATTTATACACACAAACACACATACGTGTGTAGAGACACATCTCATTATCCAGTATACTTTGTCCATCGAAGGTAAACTTGTCCATGTTACTCAAATTGATGGCTGCATTAAAAAAAACAACACAAACCTTCAAATGTCAAACATTCCCTTTAAGTCTCAGTAATTGCTGGGCGGTCCCGCAGTCCCCTGGGTGCCTTTGGTGGCCTCGCTGTGATGTTTTGAAGTGTTTTAAAACCAAACGCGTTAGGTTTAGTGCAGACTGGGCTCCAACCCAGTTAAAATATTCCTTGTTGTTGAAGTGTGCACCCTCTCCCATGCGCCTTGAGGGAAATTAAATCACCACTGGAATCTTGGGATCACAACAGTATGTCTTAACTAAACTTTAAATAGCAGAGCAGGTACTGTATCAGTGGTTGATTGTGATTCTGCGTCTCAGATTTTTGTTGAGTGGTAAATATAGAAGAACTGGCAGTTTGGTCCCAACTACTGAGTTGGAAATCTGTCTTTTTATTTGAAATTCTGGACCAGTGTGACACCCAGAATGCTTGTCCTTCCATGTATGATGCTGTAACCGTATGTTCCGCCATTCGCTGTGTGATGTTTTGTTGTGTGTAGTACAAGAAAAGCACAGTTAGTCTGCAGCAAATAAACCTGGATGGCCAATCAGAGGGCTAGATTGGCAGTGGGAATGGGACTGAACAGTGGTAGATTAAAGTGGACCTGTATGAAAATCCTTGATGGGTTCATCATTACATCATCATTACTCTTCAGTTCTTCAGATCACACTGCCGAGCGCCGATGCAGAGATTCATGTCTGTACAGGGTCCCTCTGCCATGCAATAACTGTAGCACTCTGTGGGAGAACGTTTATAACAACATATTCTTAATAACTTAATGTCATCCAGGTTTATTTCCAGTGTGTTTACATTTTCTGGTGCCTAGTACAGGGAAAAAGATGTGTTTTATGCATTAAAACTGTAAATATGCAGAAAATTTTCTGTGATCATCTTTGTTTAATGACTCTAAAAATATGGTTTTATCTTTTTGAGATCTTTTACTTTCTTTTCTCCTTTTTTTTTCCTGATGCCTGTTTTACAAGTGAGTCATTTGAAATAAAAGCTGTTGAATCCTGGATAATAAGGCTTGTTTTTATTTCTTGTGTGTACATCAAACACAACTGTACATACAGTCCCCTCTAAACTTCAGTGCTCAGGACAATACTGCTGTCTGGAAAAGAGCTCTTTGCACATTAGAACAGTCAAAGTGGCCGCCTGTGTTGTACCGCTTATATACCAGCTTCTCCATTTCTTTTTCCTTCTCTGCTGACAGATGGGTTTCCTTTGTTGTCAGCTCACAGATGCTAAATTATTGATGGCTGCTTGTCAGGAGTGTTGTTACTTGATGTGGGCCACTTCCAAACTTCATTACATTCCTCATATACACGGAGGAGAAAACGCATGTTGTCACTTCATTAGGTTTATATGATCAGCTCATTCTAATAATTAAATAGTATTTAGGCATCAATCAACCTTAACAGCATTAACTTTGAGACATTCATGTGATTTAATTTAAACAAAGAAGACCAGGGGCGGCTGTTCCTGACAGAATCTGATTGGCATTTCACAGCCAGCAGTCGAACTGACATTACTGTGAAATCTGAGCTAAAACTTTGATGAAAAGGATTCAAACTGTTTTGTTTTTTTTTAAACACACCCAAATTTTTCAGGGGAATTATGGGAAGAATAGTAATGTCCCAGTAATTTAAGAAATACACTTTCTTCAGTTTCCAAGAGTGAGGTTGGAAAAAATGTTTTATTAATTACAGAGTTGGAGCCTAGCTTAGCATAAAAACTACCAGAGAAGGAAAGCTAATTGCCTGCCCCTAATTAAAGTTCAAAGATGCCTCTACAAACACATTTGAAGCTAGTTACTACATTATCTCTAGAATTTTTTTTAATTAAATTGTAGTGGGTTATGTTGCATTTTATAGCAAAGACTGTAATCTTGCTAGAATGCTAGCAAGATATTAGGCCAGATTCCTTAGGATCAGGATAGCCGTTTCTGCTCTGTTTAGCTAACAATGAGCAAAAATTCAACACGGGATGTGTGGAGGTGTTTAGGGTCATTACTGGGGTTATTTTTTTAAATAATTATATTTTACCTTCCAGTCTTCACGCTAAGCTAATTTTATGTTGAAAGCCTTCTGATGCCAGTTTTTGGCATGGGTGTGAAATTGGTACCAGTAAACAATCATGTTTCCAAAACTGTAGGGATCCACAAATACCTTCTTCTTTTTTTTCAATCAAACTTACATTAGGGTACTTGCCAATACTAAGAACAGAGATACTTAATTACAGAATTCAAATAAATGTTTCCTGTAACATGAATGCTCAGTTGGCTCTGTATCATCAAACTGATGTTCCTTTAAGGCCATCTGATATCATTTGGATTTGCAGACTTTGGGCAGTGACTGGGTATGTTGTCTTGCTGCCTCTGTTGCTGTTTCTAATTGAGTCTTCAATAGACTACCAAGGGTGTCCTCTTCCTCTCGCCCTGTGGCAGCCTAGAAAGGCCTTAATCCACAGTAACAACGTTCCTGATGAGTTTATGATCTCAATCACACATTTTAAATCCTAATGAACACAACACAATTCTTATTTTGCAAATTTTAGTCCCAATAAGTGTCCACAAGAACAATAAAGTAGAATATGCTTTAGGGTGGGCTTACTTGCGGACTGAAAAGCAGCTACCCTATAAACATGTAGTGTCCTTCAGTTTCACAGCTGTGCTTTTGATGTCTGGTTTCAAAAATGCTGATGACAGTCATAACACCGAACTCAAAGTTTTGGGAACAGGACTTCACAAACTAGTGGGAGAGCCAACTCCTAGAGGAGAGGTTAGCATTGTGTGACAGCTGTTATCAGAGTAGCTACATGAACACAGAATCAAACGGGTAAACAATACTGGTGTTGGTATCAGTGCATCCCTACAAAAATGTTAAACATTCCTTTCACACTAGGAAACCTTAGCAGTATGCCTCACATCCGGCACACAAGCCTTTTCTTCTTTTAGCAATTCTATCACAATTTCATGGTTTTAATTAGGACACAGAATTGTTAATTAAAAAAAACATATCAATGATTCGATGCGTCTCACATGGCACTTTTCAGTTCAGCAACACGATATGTTACATTTCTAGTAACATTTACTTTTTACATCAGCAGGCTGTGGATGCGAGGAAATGAACAGTCTAGGTCATTCCAGTTTGTAAAAGGTATTTGGTGCTATCCAGTTCTCACAGAGCATGTTTGAAAGACAGCAAGGAGTCTTGAATCATGCAGCTCCTCAGAGACTCTGTCCATCACCAGCAGATTGTATTAACCCGAAAGGCAGAGGAAAGCAGAGTGCTGCTGGAAGTCTCAGCCAAGAGATGACGGGCAGCCCCGATCACACCTCGATGGCGACGGTGTCCTTTCGATGTTTGGGCTCGTTTGCGAGATGTGGTTTCTCTGTGCGAGTGTGCCAAACCAGCACCTGAAAAAGAGAAGCGGAAGAATCAGAAAATCTGCCGGCAAAGAAAGCGTAATGCACTAAAAAAAGAGAGTAGAAGAAAGGCAGTCGTGTGAAACACACTCCCGTTGATGGTTTCATGCAACAACAATAACAAAGAAAAGGAATACACCAGCAAACAATCAAACAGATATAAAAACATACGAGGGTGGGGGATTGGTTTTACAATAAATATCAGGGTACATTAAACTCATTTTATTGTTGAGATATAGAAATGCAACATCACCAGGAAAACAAGTCTATCAGACAAGCGTAATAACTATACATGTAATGTATCATATTACTTTCCATTACACATATAAAAAAATAAAGAACCAGCAGATGATACTGATACTGTTTCACTCTTTGTTTGATAACTGTCCGCTATTGTCAACTAATAATAGTAGGCTAAATCTGTCATGAGTGTATGACAGTGGGAACAGCTCTACTCGGGGGGCTCTGTCCCTCCTCTCTCCTCCTGTATAGCTGCACAATGGTGGTGTGATAATGTGCCTCACTGTTCATTTTCTTACAAGCTTTCTTATGTTTCCAGAAAAAGCCTTCACAGAACCTGACTTGGACTTGATTCGAAACATATATTTTAAACTTAATAGGCCGTCCAACTAAAAAAATTATACTGGTCATTTGTTCAGATCATCTGAAACACTGATGTGCAGGCGTGTTAAAGTCGAGTGTTAAGCGGAAAATGAGGTGACAGTGGCAGACGGTGTAGCATTTGCAGTTCCTCTAATGGCCACTTGGGACTGAAACGAAAAGTGAGTCAATCCCTGTGGGCTCCCATTTTAAAAAGCATGTTTACAGCCTTGCACACAAATCCGTTTGGTGTTTTGGATACTGATGAGAATTAAAGTTAGGGGTGGGGCTGCTTTGACTGACAGGTGTGTCCACACATGGGGTTGTAGCTGTGTGCTAGCTTGGAGATGGCGGAGTGTTCGTTTCCTCTGTATTTGTGCAGTTGATGGTTTTTGAAACACATCTGATTGAATTATCTAGATTTAGTGACAGAAATTGTTATTAATCACTTATTTAGCACAAATTGAAAGCCTTGTGTGATATCCTGGAACTAAAAGGCAAGGCAAGTTTATTTGTATAGCACAATTCAACAACAAGGTGATTCAAAGTGCTTTACAGAGACATTAGAAACAAAAAAAGGTTGTTAGGTGTTGGAAAAAACAGAGTTTAAGTTAACATGCATGCGGCATGGTGCTTTGATCTTTACTGAGATGGAAGGTGTGCCCTTTTAACTGCACAAATCACTGTCCTTTTATTCTTCTATGAAAGTATAAACTATTAGGATTTTAATACAAAAATTTGAGGTACAATATTTACTGACACAGATCAGTGGTGATTTCTACTCCGTGGCTTCTTGGTGTCAGTATGAAACCAATATACTGGTCTAAATCAAGTGTGCAGTTGTATTTCCAACTCATTGCAGATGCATTTTGAACCTTCAGTCCTCGATGATCTGCATATGAAATGCCCCATGGAGTAAAAAACAAGTCTGTGTTCTCTGCAGCAGAGATAGCATTGTATCCTCCTGCTGTTGGATTTGATGGTGCTGGTGTGCTGCGAGGGATTCCACTTGCAGGAAACAGCCTGACACCTCGAAATGGTTTGAATCAAAAGCAGCACGCACCTCACTGCAGCTGTTTGTCTTGTGTTTTCAGTCAATTTCACAGCAATATATTGGTGAGAAAACAGTACAATGGATGCAACGATTGATATTTTCCTGGAGAGGAGAACAAATTCCATTCCATGTAGTTTCAAATGAGTTTTTTTGGGGGGGAGTTTATAACTAATGAGCCCATAATTCAAGTGTGTCCGAAACTGCACACACAGTGACTCACAAAGGCATGATTTATTGCTGGCTGTGGACGCTGACGTTGTTTTTGCGCTTCTTCAGGTGGAACGTGTCACTTCCTGCACACTGAGCTGCTAATTGGCCCGCTTTGCATATCTAACGAGGCTAATGTAGCAGCCGCTCCAGAGCTGTGGGGGAAATGGTATCTGTGCGTGCGCGTGCCAATTATGCAGCCAGAGTGCGCTCCCTGTTCCCCGTATACTCTTCTCTTCCCCCCAGTTTGCTCTCTGTTTTCCTCATTCATCAAGTCCACTTTCTCTCCCATGGCCTTACTGCTGGTTTTACCTCAGTCCTATTTCCTGCTCTAGCTTTCGTTTCCACCCTCAGGCAACTCGGAGACAAAAAAAGCTTTTTCAGGTTAGAGAGCTCTGTGCTTTTTTTTTTCACCTTAATAGCATATGGTGGGGGAAGGCCTGTTTCTACCTATGAGCAAGAGGAACTTATATAGCAGAACTTTTACCTTAAAGGGGACCTATTATGTTTTTGGCTTTTTCCTTTCAGAGCTCTTCAGATCAGGTAATAAAGTTCTGAAAGTCAGAAAGGAAGCTATATCCACGTAGATGAGTGACAATATGTCTTCTCCCAAGGCGAGGGCCAGCATGGCGAGCCAGATGGCTGGCTTACTGTTCCTCCCATTTACATGAATTAAGAGTTAGCACTTTGTGTGTCTTCCAATCAGCACTGGGCCCTACACTCCTTAAAAAGAACTGCTCCACATAGAAGATTGCTAAGTAATGGACTAATAATGCACTGGAATTTCAAACTTCTTGGATTGCTCATACCACAAAAGCCACCAACACAGTGGAAAGGTCCAGTTCAATGACTATTTAGTGGATGTGAGCTGCCTCTATTCAGACTCCTATCAAAGGGGCCAAGCCCCTAAATCCAACATCCAGTTAAATAAACACACATTTCTTTAAGTGCCATCTCCTGATATCTTATGTGCTAATTATTGCTCCTTCAAACAGGAGCTTTTGCTCTTGGTATCGAAACAGTGACACAAATTTTTAAGAAAAAGGGTTCCAGCAACCAACGACACTTTTAAATACCTCTGTGATGTCAGTGGTTTTGAACAAAACAGTATTTCAGAACCTGCTGTACAGAAAGGACACAGCTTTGATTTACCTAATATAAAACAGACCAATTTAGGTGTTATTATTATTATTATTTTTTTTTTACTGGGTCACTTCCGCTAACAATGATTTTAAATTTCCTTCAGACTCCCTGTGACAAAAGTCTAGGAAGGGAGCACTAGAGTGAAGTAGAGTCAGATTGAAAAGATAATCATGGCACAGCAAGGAAAAAGTGAGAACTCATTTTGGATTCAGCACCATACTGCAGATGGATTAAAGTAAGGCTGCTTTTTATAAAAGTCACTATGAATAAAAAGAAGCATGTCAGTTTTGCAACTCAATTTGCAACTTAGCAACATGGAGTGTATTCAAATGAATCTGAAATTATGTTTTATTTCTCTCTTCTCTGTAATATGCACACTGCTGGCCAAAATGGCCAAGAAATTTCAAATAATCATGTCAGCCTATGTAAATATAATCCAGACCCAGAGCGAAGAACTCAGACTTCAGGCTGCTCTAAAGGCTCAGTTTCTGACATATTTTTTGCACTTTAAGCTCTGTGTGATGCCAACAACAGGGGATATCGCTAATGGGGTCATCTCATAAAGCCCCACGTACCTGCTGTTTAAACGTCCAATAAGAAGAGCCCTGGCTAAAAGAGAGATGATGTTCAATTTTAAGTCTACGAATAAAATATGTGAAGATGGAAATGAGCGTCATCAGTTTCGTCTAATGGTTTAAACTTCATTTAAACTGAAATCAAATCTGCTTAGCAGTGATTCCAAATCTTTGGAGAGAATTTACCTGATTGTCACGACTTGGGATTTTATTTATTAAGACCTTTCCTCACTTGCTGCTTCCAGTGTCTATAAGCTTCTCCAGGCTCGGTTCTTACATTCAATTGAATCTGAAATATCTCTCACTCGACAGAAAGGAAAAATGCATTCCTAATTTGTAAATGCACTCAAGATGCTTTAAGGATTGTGTCACCAAAAACCAGACCAAGAAGTGGTCAGAGATGTGTTTAGCCACATTAATGCCACTAAAATTAAGTTTGGCAGAAAGCTGAGAGCCATTTGTAATGAAATAGACAGCAGTGCAGTCTTTCACCCCAGAGCTCCCTGGGTCCCCTGTCATTCTGTCTTCTTTCTTTTTTTAAATCTTCCTCAATCAATCTATGTATCCTCTTTTCTCTGCATAGGCTTTTACCCTCCTCATCCTTTCTCTCTCCTCGAGCTCCTTTCCCTCCTGTGCTATCATCTGTCTCCATCTGTTCCTGCCATCCCCCTCCTTTCTTGTCCTGTCACTGCTGTCTGTTGCCGTTACTCTCTCGATCTAACTACATTACAGCTCCTGACAGTCGTCTCCAGATACTGACCCAGCCGTCAGATGAGCGTTTCTGGCCTACATTGTCAAGGTCGACGTTCAGGTTCTATGGTCTGATCCCAGATACTGTCCTCAAAGTGCCCAGAGCTGGAGTTAGGGTGTGTCTGCTGGTAAAAGTAATATCTTCCAGTAATATGAATAATAATAAGCCAGTTCAGACCAGTCTTAACCAATAAAACCAAGAACAAGGTGTAGACCCAAAATGATTACAGTTCATACTAAAAACAGGCCCTGAAATAGGGTGTGCTTCTCACTCAGATGCATTACTCCCTCACAAAGCCAAACTGAATTTTTAAACACTGAGATACTGACAGTTACCATTTACAGTCTGAGTAATTTCAGAGTTTATCTGTGGAAAAGCTGAAGCTACTAGTTGCCACACAGCAGCCAAGAAGCATAAAGGATTTAGTTTGTAAAGAGAGGTGGTCAAAGTCTCTCCTGAGACGTGTGCAAACCCAATAAGAAAAACACAGGTTTTTCCAACTGTAAAACCATTCCTGTTTTGGGGTTGTCACCCCGCAAAGACACCAAACCAGCTGAAACTGATTAACAGCCCCCTCTGCTACTTAATGCTGACACTCGCTGTGGCTCTATGTGTCTGTGAGATTTCATGTGCAGGTAGATACATTTGTCAAACTTGCTAT